ATCAGAAAAATAAATTACAAAAATCGAAAGAATAAGTTTTCTGTTGGTTCCTCGTGATATATAAAAAAAAATTAAAATTAACTTAACTTAACTGCACCATAATGATAATAGTAGTATGTAAATAAATAATCAAATTAAAATAATAACCAATATTTTAATTATTAGTATATTAGTAAAAATCATTAAAAATAATGGTATGTAAATGAATAATACAATACGCAATGTCATAAGTCAAAAATATTTTTAAAAAAACCAAAAAAATCTTACTAAGAAAATTAAAAATTATGAAAAAAATATTTAAAATAATTTTATGTATAAAAACCTTAACGATAAACCGCTTTAATGTCCCTCAATTCATTGCATGATGATATGCACTAATACACGGTTAGGTTAYCGATCTACGGCTGTTCAGTTACTAACAAACTTATTAAATACACTACCAGACTGTGGTATATCAGTGATTTTGTCTTTTAGTATAAATATAGGCGTAAAATACAAAACTATATCGTAGGTATACAATATATTACAGCAAATTATATTTGGGTCAATTTTATCTTTAAATGCTTTTTTTATCGCTGTACAGATATGCGGTCTACATACATGTTTGTAGACCGCGTCCTGTCGGTAGACCGCATACCCGAGCAGCACCCAATACGAAAGCAAGCATGACAATGATTCTTAATAATTTTTTATTGAAAATAATCGTAATTTAATTTTTTTTTTTATAATTTTGTTAAAAACACGACGATTTGATAATTATTTAAGTTAGAAATGTATAAAAAAATCAATTCTTACGTAAGCTATGAAAATAAAATTCAAAATTCTCCTATATTTTTCATACATTAAAAAAAATTTCAGAAATTTAGGTTATTTTATTACGAACGTTTGAAGTTAGACATAGGATATTAAACGGACGTCTATGCTGCTATAATTGCGYGAGGATTAGAGAAGTGTTTGATACTTGGTCAACAGGAAAAAAATTAAATTATGATTATTTCCAATAATAAGCGGGTAATTGGGTAACATTTTGATGTACATTAAGTGTCTAGGGATCAAAGAATCACTATAATGGATGTGTTAAATTTGAATTAAGGATCATTGTACCCGAAAAACGATTCTGAGCGAATACGGTCTTCTTTGGACGAAGGTTGATTAGCTGAAGG